TAGGACCGACGATCGCGCTGGTTCAATAAAGCGAAGTAATAGTGTCCTTCTAAGGACATTGACTCGCTTTCGAACCCTTGCAAAAGCGCCTTCGACTCGCATCGTCCGCCTCGGCGCGTACCTGCGAGACAGCTCGTCTAGTTGCGTCATTCTTTACCACCTCCACTTCCAGTCCCATCTCGTTCGCACACGGGATTTACTCTCGCACGCAAACTACCAAATTAAATATCCTGGGGTCCGGACGTAACATTATCTTTTCTATCTCTTTCTCCTCCCCTTCTTCCCCTGCCTTAAATCCCTTCACCAAGATATTCCTCCTCCTTTCTTCCCTTTCCTTCCTCTCCCATCTCCTCTCTAGTAACTTCATTCTCTCTCCCCATAATTCCCCTCTCTCTATCCCTCCCATCTTTCCCTCCTCTTCATTTTTCTCCGCTCCTCTTAGTCTCTCTACCCTCACTCTCTCCAACTCTCTCTCCATTCCTTCAATTCTTTCTTTTATTTCCTTTTTCTCTCTCCTCCATCCTTCCTCCCTTAATTTCATCTCCTCTTTTATTTTCTCTAACTCTCTCCTCATTGACTGCTCTTGTCTCTCCGCCGACTCCCTTATTTCTTGTCTAACGCTCTTTAATCCTAATCCAATCTGCTTCCCCATCCCTCTGATCATCTCCTCCAGATTTCCACTCTCGTCTCCCTTTTCCACCGGTGACCTTGCCACTAGCTTGCTCCTCTTAAAAATCTCCTCTCCTTTCCTTTCCCCCTCTCCCGGGCTCGAACCCATCATATCTTTTTTCCTCTTTACATATTTCTCCCCGCTACCTACACTACTTACACTATTCGCTCTTTCCCTTCCCACTCTTCCATACTTGTCCGCCATCTCTATTCTGTCTACTCCTTGCCTCTTTCCTTCCATCCTGCTTCACACCGACTCTCTTTGCTATTCTCTACTCTATGCTCGTCTCTTCCGTTGCCCCGATCTCTCAACTCCTCCCTCTCCCTCCCCACCACTCCAAACCTAACCTCTCACGCGTCCCACTTCTTCCCACCTTTATCTTCCCTATGCCCTTTTCCTTCGTGCTCCCTTCAATCCCCCGCCCTTGCCTCTCTCTCCCCTACTGCCCTTTCACTCCTTCACTCACACACTTTCTCTCACTCTCTCACAATCTCTTTTATTTTCGCACACTCTTCTATTCCTACTCAGTTCTATCCTACCGGAAACGGAAGTCCACCTATATCATACTTGTCTTTTGCAAAAATACTTTTATAATTATCTAATATGGTATTGATCCTACTTCTTTGCTCAATGGTTAAATGTTCAATATCTATATTAAATTCATTTACATTAATATCTTCATTGAAATTTACTTGAAATTGATCCAATGAATTTTTCATCTCCATTTTTCCTTTTAATATATTCTTATTGTTTAATTTAGATTTTATTTCTTTTTGTAATTGGATATTTAAATTCCCATTATGGGTCAACCCAAATCTTCTTATAGTATCTAGTCCTAAGATCATATCATAATTGAAATCATCATTTTTGTATATAAATGCATTAATTTTTCCTGTTATATTAAGTATGTTTGCATTTAGTGTGATTAAGTCATCGGTTTTACCCCTACCACTAATTGTTTTAATTGTACTACTAAAATTATTTTTTATCAAATTTTTTATTTTCACCAGTTTAGAATTTATCAGTGTGACATTTGAGCCAGGGTCATAACCTCTACATTCGGTATTTCCATTTAGTACAACCTTAACTTCAATTAGTGTGGGGATATCTAGTTTTTTGGATCTTCTT